TTATAGCAGAGTCGTGCTCCATTGTATGAAAAAAACCACATCTACTTTATCTATTGTGTTAGTTGGTTCCATGGCAGGGTGGCGGAGAGGCAACAGTTCATGGAGGCGGAAGAGAGCAGAAGCAACAAGGAACCTTAACAGTGTCTTTCTGCCTATTTTATTCCATCCAGGCTACTGGGATTAGGGCGGTGCCAAACCAGTCACTCACAAGGATTAGTGTAGTAATCACACGCCCTTAATCCCAGCATCACACACAGTAGGTTCAGCCACCTCTGAAAAAGAAAGCCCCACCTCATCTGCATGAGGCTTTGGGGGGACATCTAGACCCAAACCATGACATCCATTGATCAGCTGAAGGGCACTTGGGCTGTTTCCAAGTTTTAGCTATTACAAACTGTGCTGCTATAAACACGGGTGCACATATATCACTGTGGTATGATCCTTTTAATTCTTTTGGGACAATACCAAGAAGGGGGATAGCTGGGTCAAATACCTCTAGTTTTAGTTTTCTGAGGTATCTCCACACTGATTTCCACAGTGGTTGCACCAGTCTGCACTTCCACTAGCAGTGAAGAAAAGTTCTTTTTTCCCCACAGTCCTGCCAGCATTTGTTACTGCTTGATTTTTGACAGTAGCCATTCTTTCCGGAGTGAGGTGAAATCTCAGCAATGTTTTAATTTGCATCTCTTGAATGACCAGTGATGTTAAACATTTTTTCATATATTTATTTGCTGTTTCCACTTCATCTGAGAAGCATCTATTCATTTCAGATGCCCATTTTTGGATTGTGTCTTTAAATTTGGAGCGTCTGATTTTTGCCTCCTTTATATATTCTACATATTAGTCCTTTGAGGAAGAGCTGGCAAAAATATTCCCACTCTGTGGGTTGTCTCTTCACTCTGTTGATGGTTTCTTTTGCTGTGCAAAAGCTTTTTTTTTTTTTTTTTAAAGAGAACTAGTTTATTATCACCTTTTGAGAAAGACAATAAAATGTACAAAATATGGCATTGCTTAAGATTGTTCATTGTTAGTTATTCAAGAATTTGTTATTGAAATATTTTTCTATTAACATGTAGTCATCTATCCAGAATTGAAATTTTGAAGGCATATTCTGCTGTTTCAGACTTCTTTGTCTTCCCCCCCTTCATAGACTTTAAATTTAATAAAAGGAACAAGATTTGGAGATGATTGCCTTATGCTGGTAGAATTTTTCTCCATGATACTGTGGTTTTCAGTAAGCACATGCTACTGGTTCTCAGCTTGGAAACACCTCCAAGTGCCCTGGAATGTCGCCTGAGGGCATCTGGGGGAAGGCACTTGCACTTTTTGTGAGGGAGACTTTTCAAAAGTTCCATACATCTCGGGCCAGGGAGATAGGTATCTGAGTCAAAACAGAGAATTCCCTATTCCTATGTACATCTGTCAGATTGCACATCGGAGGCTATCCATAACTGCACTCCCTGGATTAATTATGTTTCTTTCTTTCCAGATCCATCATACCCAAAATTCTTAACGAAATGCTGTGAGTCCATAAAGCATATTAGCTTTCATCTGCAAAATGGCCCATTATCCTTCTGGGGAGTGTGAGTCATCTTTTCCATAGCTTTCCACCTCCTCAAGAGAAATATAAATGTTCCCAGTTCAAGGAGATAGCCTCTCTCTCTCTCTCTCTCAGATACCCACACTTTACTCCTTTGAGTGTGTACTTTTAAAATTTTACCAGGCAGGGGATTTAGCTCAGTGGTTCTGCCGCTGCCGCACAAGGTCCCGAGTTCGATCCTCAATACCAAAAAATTTTTTTTTGCCTAATAAAGCCCATTTTCCTCTTACTGGATTATCCTGAACATTTTGCATCTGAGATGGGATTCAGTGATCCTGATATAGGGGGAAGAGATGTAACTCTCAAATCTGCTAGATATCTGAAGTGGGAGTCTGTGTTCTCTAAAATTGAAGAATGAATTCTAGGAACAACAGAGGTTAAGACTAGGAAAAATTTATTGAGAGAAAGACAGCTTCTGTCTATATTGGTTCTCCTTACCCAAGAAAAAGGAATATCTTTCCATTTTCGGATATCCTCTTTGATCTCTTTTTTCAGAGTACTGTAACTTTCCATGTAAAGATCTCTTACTTCCTTTGTTAGATTGATTCCTAGGTATTTCATTTTTTCAGATGCTATTATGAAGGTGTTATTTCTCTAATTTCTAGCTCAGCGAATTTGTTATTTGCATAAAGGAATGCTATTGATTTTTGAGTGTTGACTTTGCATCCAGCTACACTACTGAATTTGGTTATTAAATCTAGAAGTCTTTTGGTGGAGTTTTTGGGGTCTTCTATGTAGAGTATCATGTCACCTGCAAATAATGATAATTTGTTTGTTTGTTTGTTTTTGTTTTGTTTTGTTTTTTTGGTACCGGGGATCAAACTCCAGGACCTTGTGCATGTGAGGCAGGTGGAGGAACAAATGATGATAATTTAATTTCTTCCTTTCCTATCCTTATTCCTTTTATTTCTTTCTCTTATCTAATTGCTCTGGCTAATGTTTCCAGAACTATATTGAACAGGAGTGGACATCCTTGTCTTGTTTCTGATTTTAGAGTGAAAGCCTTATTTTTGTCCACTTAATATGGTGTTGGCTATTGTTTTGTCATAGATGGCTTTTATTAGATTGAGATAAAACCCTACAATTTTCTGTAGGGCTTTTCTTTTTTTTTATCATGAATGGGTGTTGGCCTTTGTCAAATACTTTTTCTGTATTTATTGAGATGACCTTGCAAATGTTGGACTGTCCCTGCATCCCTGGGATGAATCCTACTTGGTCATGGTGTATAACCTTCTTTATGATTTGCTGCATTCTGTTTGCCAGTATTTTATTGAGCATTTTTGTATCTATGTTCATTAGGGAGATTGGCCTATAGTTCTCTTTTTTGGTTGGATCCTTCTCTGGTTTTGGAATCAGGGTAATGCTTCCTTCCAGGAATGATTTTGGGAGTATTGCTTTCTTTTCAATTTCATTGAAGAGTTTGAGAAGTAGTGGTATTAAGTCTAAATTTCTTGTAGAATTCAGCAGTGAATTCATTGGGACCTGGGCTTTTCTTTGTTGGTAAGTTTTTAATTACATCTTTGATTTCATTGACTGATATTGGTTTATTTAGAATTTTTTAACTCCTTCATTCAACTTTGGTAATTCATCTGTGTCTAGGAATCTGTTCATTTCTTCTGTGTTTTCCATCTTATTAGAATATAGGTTCTTGAAGTAGGTATTGATGATCTTCTGGATTTCTGCAGGATCTGTTGTGATTTCACCCTTTTCATTCCTAATTGCATGGATTTGAGTCTTTTCTTACCTTTCTTTGACAAGGTTGGCTAAGGGTTTGTCAATTTCATTTAATCTTTCAAAGAACCAACTCTTTGATTCATTGATGCTTTGTATTGTTTTCTTAGTCTCCATTGCATTAATTTCTGCTCTGATCTTTATAATTTCTTCCCTCATACAAAGTTTGAGCTTGACTTGCTCTTTTTTTTTTTCTTTCTAGAGGCTGGAGGTCCAAGATTAGGTTGTTTGTTTGAGCTCAGTCTATTTTTCTGATATGAGAATTCACTGCTATAAATTTCCCTCATATGACTGCTTTCATTGTGTCCCATGAGTTCCGGTATGTTGTATTGGCATTATTATTTAATTGTAGAAACAGTCTAACTTCTTTTTCTTTTTCTTCTTTTTTTGGGGGGGTGGGTACCAGGGATCGAACTCGGGTCCTTGCGCTTGCAAGGCAGGCAGCAGAACCACTGGGCTAAATCTCCGGCCCAATAGTCTAACTTCTTAATTTCATCTGTGACCCATTGGTTGTTCAATTTCCATGTGTTTATGAAGTTTTTATGGTGACTTTTGCCACTAATTTTTAATTTCATTGCACTATGGTATGATAATAAGCATGGGATAATTTCAATTCCTTTGGATTTACTTAAGCATGTTCTATGAGCTAGTATGTGGTCTATTTTAGAGAACATCACATGTGCAGCTGAAAAGAATGTGTATTCTTTTTTTTTTTTTTTTTTGGTACTGGGGATCAAACTCGGGTCCTTGCGCTTGTGCAGCAGGTGGTGAAACCACTGAGCTAAATCCCCAGCCCCAAGAATGTGTGTTCTGATGTTGTGGTGTTGAACACTCTATAGACATCCACTAAGTCCATTTGTTCAAAAGTTTGGTTCAGCTCTGATATTTCTTTGTTGATTTTTTTGTCTAGTTGATCCATCTATTTGTGACAGTGGAGTATTGAGGTCCCCCATTACAATTGTCTTAGTGCTTATTTGATCTTTCATGTCTGTTAATATTTGTTTTATATAGTTGGGTGCACTGGTATTTGGTGCATATATATTTATGATTGTATGTCTTCCTCTTGGTATTGTTTCCTTTACAAGGATGTAGGGTCACCTGTGTTTAGACATGGATTTTGCTTTGTGTTTTTGCTTTTGAATCCTTGGTGGACTTGGGGACAAGGAATCTTGCAAGATGGCCATTGGAATGTCTCCAGAATCCACTTATGAAGAGGACTGTGGCCTAAGAATTATTCTTTTAAAAATGATATTGGAGGTTCCGCCGCCTGCCCCGCAAGCGCAAGGACCCGAGTTCGATCCCCAGTACCAAAAAAAAAAAAAAAAAAGATATTGGAAGCCGGGCGTGGTGACACACGCCTATAATCCCAGCACTTAGGAGGCTGAGGCAGGAGGACTGCTGTGAATTTGAGGCCAGCCTGGGCTACATAGTGAGTTCAGGGCCAGCCTGAACTACAAACGGAGACTCTGTCTCAAAAAACAAAAAACAAAAACAAAAACAAAAAAATTGGAAGGGACAGAAGGACCTATGTCTACAAATAGCACAAGCATTTTAAAATAATTCCCAGTGGGGTCCCACCTGACCAAGCTGTTGTCTAATGACAGGATTGGGTGCACCCACCAAGACCCAAAGGAATGTTTCAGTGTGAAAAACAGAGATTCACTTTAGGTGACCACTTTAGATATTTTTAATTGTTTGTTTTTTGTTTGTTTTGAAAGAGTCTCTCTCTGTGCACTCCATTTTACCTTCAGACTTGCTATGTAGCCCTGGCTAGCCTCAAATGCTCAATTTTCCTGCCTCAACCTCCTGAGTGCTGAGATTACAGGTACAGTCTACCATGCCTGGTTTAAACTAGACTTTTAAAAGTGCCATTGCATTTTCTTTGTTTTCATGTAAATCACCTTCAAGAAAGTCTCTTACACCAAAGTAGTTTCTTTAAGTTTCACAAGGTGAGTTCAGAATAGACATGACCAGTTTTACAGTCATGACAGGTCTCTGAAATACAAAAATGGGAAAAAATTTGGTAAACTTAGGATATGTGTCAGAAGGCCTCTAAAAAGAAATTCTGTTTCTAGAAGCTGGGTAGCCTGCCAAACCCAAGCAGTAACTTTTTTTCCCCAGGACTGAGGTAAATAATTTATTCGTGAACATGTTTTGGTATAGTAGTGACTCTGCGTCCTCCTCGTGGGGAGAGTACATTCCCCACCCCACCCTCTCCTCCCATCCCTCTTCTCCTGGGGAGTTTACTGGGAGCTGAGCTATCAGTTACTGCTCCTTCCTGGGGTGCACCTGTGCCTTCCACGTCATGGGGACCCTCTGTCGCATTTCATTGACATCTGTCATCCAGAGCTATGGCTCACCTTGCTCCCTGCGGGCGGCTTCTTGGAACACGGGGGTGGCGTAATGTATCTCCTGGGAGTCTCCTGCGCCTGGCGAAAGACAAGGCGGAGTTACCGAGTGAGTCTCCGACCACACGGGGGCAGTGGCGTCAAGGCTGTGGACCTCGCGGACCCTTTGCCGTTTTGTGTTGTGGAAACACGTTGCTTTGACCCCAAGTCGGCCACAGCTTCCTCATTTGCAAAACAGAAAGGTCTTGACTCGGAGGTGGTAGTATTGGGCCGGGAAAGCTCTTAGGGCAGCACACAGAATGCGGCTGGCGCTGTGAGTGTTGGTTAGGACAGAGCTCATAGTCACCAGGCCCAGCTTCTCCTTCATCAGAAAGCAGCCTCTGATGCCTGCTGGAGAGGGGAGCATGGACTGTACAACACGGTGACTTAGTCAAGGACAAGGCGCTGAGCCTATGGAGAGGCATATGCCTATTATCCCAGCACTTTGAGAGGCTGAGGCAGAAAGATCTCGAGTTCAAGTCCCACCATGGCAACTTAGTGAGAACCTGTCTCCCCCAAAAAGCAAAATTAAAAACAAACAAACAAACAAAAACAAACATACAAACAACAACAACAAAAACCCAAAAACTTAAAAAGAGGCTGAGGTTATAGGTCAGTGTGAAGGCTCTCGGCTCAATCCCTAGTACTGCAAATCAAACCAAACTAAATCAAAAGTAGTGGATTCTTGAAAATCACTACGGGATTAAGTAGGTTTTAACTGCTCTCACTAGCACTTGCCTACCATGTATGAGGTTATGGGTTTAATCCCCAGCACTGAGAAAACAAAAGCAAAACACTAATGTGTATGTATTTCAAAAATCATACATGGCTTTTTTTGGGGGCAGGGGGGGCTACTAGGAATTGAACCCAGTATCCTTGTGCATGCTAGGCAAACATTCTACCACTGAGCTAAATTCTCTGTCTTTTAAATTTTATTTTGAGACAGTCTTGCTAAGTTACCAAAAGCTGTGCTAATACTCAAGATCCTCCTGCTTCAGCATCCCCGGTAGCTAGGATTATAGGTATACACCATCACATCTGACTTACTGTTCTTATTTGTCAATTAAAATAAAATTTAAAATATCTTTTAAAAGATTATTATGAAAAACTTTGGAACACAGTGTGTAACATTCTGAATTAATATAAAAATCTCCAAGACATGTGAAAAAAATCAAGTGAAAAATTAAGGTATAGAATGGCCTTCTGGAGACATCTGAATGTCATTTGGTGCCAGCAGACAAAGAGAATAACTGTGAGGGGCATTTAAACACCCATCCTGGCCCTGGATAGTGAGACAGGACATCTGGATGGGAGGGAGACATTCTCTTCTATTCCTGTGGTTCTGGATGAACTTTAAAAAGACAAGAACCCCAAATCAACCAACCAAACCCACCCAAAGACCCAACAGTGTTCTCTTACCTGCTTGATCTTTACAGACATTTTCGTACAGTTCACCTTCCATGGGTGTATCTCCAGGGTCCTTGGGCACATTCTCTCTCATAGCTTTTCCTACATATGTTGGTATAAAATTATTACATTGAGCCAATTCAGATACATTTTCTCTGTCTCTTCTGCCAACCAGCAGAACCCCCTGAAGTGGTTGAAAAGGTGGCCCGCTCCAGTGACTAAACTATTGCCTAGTGGGGCAGACCAGACATTTGTCTGAAACACCTGCTCTCCAAGCTGTGCCCCCCTAACTCACCCCTGGGGCCTGTGAGGAACATGCTTTCCCAGTCAGATTACATGGAAAATGGGCAGACATGGTTTCTTCTTTCCTTCTTAAAGAGAAGAGTCTGTAAGAAGCTCTGTAACATCTTCAGGAGACAGTCAATGATCCAGCTGGGTTCTATTTCAGCCGTAATCAAAAAAATTTTTTTTTGGTATCAGGGATTGAACTCAGGACCTTGTACTTGTGAAGCAGGCAGCAGTACCACTGAGCTAAGTCCCAGCCTAGTAATCAAAAATATTAATGACACTTCTGCAAGAACCTGAGTTTTCTATAGGAAGGGGAGACATTTTTTAGATGTATGAGATGTAGAAGTTGGGATATCTGATTTTCACTGAGGATTGAATCTGTCTCAAAAAAGTTTTAAAAGGGCTGGGGATGTAACTCAATGTGAAGGCCCTGGGCTCAGTCTCCAGTACTGTCCCAAACTGAGGCTAGCACTGTGGCTCAGTGGTAGAGCGCTGGTCTAGCATGTCCATAATCCTTCAATCCCCAGCACCACATGGAGAAGAAGAAAAAAAGTAAAATGGAAAATGTTCTTTATACTTTACCATTGCTTAAAAATAATTTTTAAAACAATGCAAAAATTACTAAGAATTTCAAGTTGGTGGCAGCTGAGCATTAAGCAAGCCACAGGGCTGTGGGTAACCACACTGGCTGCACATCCTGATGTGGCCCCACCTGAAACCCACATCGAGAAAGGCTGTCACCAGGACCTGAGGACTGTCCCGTGTGCTGTGCCGGCCATTCAGGAAGTCTGTCTTAGGCCCCTCTTTTCATTTTCTCCCCATTACCTTTCTGATTCCCCTTCCTTTCCTCTTCACCCTCTACCCTGCTATCATATCCAGAGCCCATGGGAAATCAATGGTGAGAACATACTTGCTTTGTACTTTGGTATCAAACAAACTAGGACTATTGCCAGCAACACCAAAAATGACACTGGAATTAGCAGTAGTAGCAGCAGCAGGCATGAAGGACAGCTGTCTTCATCTGGAAGAAGACAGATGCAGTGGTCACCACAGAGCTCTCCAATGACATGGACCTGGCAAGTGTTCTAGAAAGGGCACTCAGAACCATCTCCCGAATTAGCCAGCCTACTGTGCACTCAGTACCTGAACCACAGCAGATACAGATACGAGCATCTCAGGAGCATTAACTTGTTAGTCCCTGGGGTTCTTAAAGTCACAACCAAGTAGATCTTCCATGAGGTGTCAGACAAGGCAGAGAAATGCAGCTCTGCACTGAACACAGTGCTGACTGGCAGCATTGCTAGGGTTACAAACATCAGAAAGGCCTGAGTGGTTTTGGGGCAAGGTCCTTAGTCACACCGCATGATTTGCGTCACTCAAACACTACCATTTATTGAGTGCTAGTTAAATGTCAGATCCTGTGTGAAATACTTTACATGCATAGCCTGATGTATCTCACTGGTAGCACTCCCATTTTACAGACGAGAGAAAGACTTAGCTAGTAACCAGAACAGCTGTGATTGTAGCCCAGTCCCTCCTTGAACAGAACTTACTGAACTCTGGAGTGCTCACAGCCCCAGACCCAGCCTGTCCTTTCCACCTGCTCGCACCTGCAACCTGAGGGGCCTCCCATGCATGCGGACCCCCCCCCAACCTGCACAACCAAGTGACACCCACAAATAGCTCCCTAGCTCCAGTCCTGAGTCCTCACTCCGTAGGAGGAGCAGCTGGGAGGAGACTCATGAAGGCCCTGGAAGTGGGCTCTGGCCTGACTGGGGAGGGAATTGGGGTCCAGATGTCCAGACTGTGAAGTGGAAAAGTGGGGTACAGGGTCCTGGTAGGCACATTTCCGCGGCCCCCTAGACTCCTCAGTCTATGGGAAGGTGCAGAGCCCCCAACATAGGCATGGTCAAGGGCCCCTTTTGCTCCAAGATAAAAGAAGCACTGGAAGAAGTCCACATTCACCAGATGTTAGCAGTGGGCCAATAAACAGCAAAGAGGGCAGGCACAGGATTAGCAATCAGTACATAACTCCAGCTGTGTGGCCCATGCCTGTGATTCTAGCTACCAAGGAAGCTGAAACAGGAATGGTGCAAGTTTGAGGGCAGCCTGGGCATCTTAGAGAGACCTGTCTCAAAATAAAAAATTAAAAAGGCTGGGGAAGCTCCCACCATGATGTTTCTGCCTTGAAGTCAGCCAATCATGGACTGATCCACTGAAACTGTTTGCCAAATTAAACTTCTCTCTTCTCCTTTAAGATGTGGGTGTGGGGTGTTGTGTCCCAGCAACAAGAAAGCTTACCAGTACAATGCCTTTCCTATATTGAAGGTAGGCTTGACCTTGTGATTTGCTTTGGCCATTAGGATATTAGGAACCATGATATAAGCAAAATGTTAATAAGCAATTACACTTTAGGGGCTTGTCTCTGCAATGCTTCTTCTTTGAACTCTGGAACTCACATTATTGGATCCTAAGCTAAGAATCAAAAGCAAGACTCTAGGTATGTAGCCTTATTGGACCCCTTCTAGCCAGGCGCTAGATATTTAGGCCACTTCAGCAAAGCCCCAGATACCATGGAGTATAGACAAATCATTTTCATTGTGGGTTGCCTGAATGCCTAAGTCACAGTCATAATTATATAAAATAATTGTCATGGTATACTACCTAAGTTTGTTGTGGTCTATCATGCAACAGTAGATAATTAATATTTAACTTGGGCTCAATTTAAAGCTTGAATACTTTTACCTGAAAAAAACCACAAAAAAGCCTGGGGATGTAGCTCAGTGGTAGAACACCCCTGAGTTCAATCTCCAGTAGCAGAAAAAAAAGGTCAATAAAAAGTGATGCAAAAGTAAAGAAAACCTAGACCAGCAGCCTCAAGAGAGATAAAAATGGAAGAGCGGGGCAGAAAGCAGGGTTGAGTCAGTAAGCTGCATGACAAGGTCTCTCCCTGCCTAGTTTTGAGGCTTCCTGTGCTCTTTTACAGGGAAAGCAACTTGGTCAGGGTTCCGAGGGCCCTACTGGGGGACCCCGCGTTTGAAGCTGGTGGCTGAAGCAGGGGATATAGGAGCAGCTGCAGTTTCGGCAAGCAAACCCAGGACCCGCTGGAAGAGCTCAGGGAAGGAAGGGTAATTGAGGGGAGTGAGTTGTTGAGCAGGATGCAGTGTCTGGTTGCATGTTGGTCTCTTTCTGTTTCACTGACCTGAAAGTTCAGCACCTGGCAGTGCCCAGGCCTAGAGGCACGGAAGCACCCCTTGAAGGGACAAGCAGACTGGGTTCCCTTAGTCTTTTTCTGTACTGCTGTAAGAAAACAGCCGTCACTGGGTAATATATACAGAACAGAAGCTTATTTGGCTCATAGTTCTGGTGGCTAGAAAGTCCAAAAGCTGTGGTTTCTGGTGAGGGCCCCTCTGGCCGCATCACCCGACACATCACCCAACGTGAGGGAGAAGCAGAAAGGGAAGTGGCAGCATGCAGGAGGGACATGAGTCTGTCCAGGGAAGCAGGGGCGGGACCAGGCTGGCTCTTTCATGGCTACCTACTCTCACAAAAGGGCATTTTTGCCAGAATTGCATCCATTGCTTAGGAGGGTGGTGCCCCATCACCTAATCACCTCCACCAAGTCCCGCCTCTGAAAGATTCACCACTCAGCCAGGCATGGGGGCACACATCTATAACCTCAGCATTCCGGAAGCCTGAGGCAGGAGGATCACAAGTTCAAGCCCAGCCTGTGTAACTTAGTGATTTAGTGAGACCCTGTTGCAAATCATCATCATCATCATCATCATCATCAGGCTGGGGATTAGCTCAGTGGGATAGCCCTGGTTCAATTCTACTATGTGTGTGTGCAGTGGCGGGGGATCCACCGCATCTCAATACCATTATATTGAGCTCCAAGCTTCCAGGTCTTTGGGAAAACACTCAATATCCAGACACTGGCACTCACTCAGTCACAAGTATGGATTGAATTCCTACTCTTTGCCAAGCTGTGCACCTAAAGATGAAACGCCTCCTTCCAGGGAGTCAAGAAGCTCACAGTGGGCTGGGCAGGGCCCTGGGTGACAAGGCTGACCCCAGGCTGTGTGGCCTGACCAAGTGTTGAGAAAGCCAGAGGGTGGAGCCCATCTCCCTGCTTTGAAGAACTGAGGTTCCCTTTACAGAAGTCTCAATATGTTTGTTCTCAATAACGAGCATGATTTTGAAATTATCCAGTACCAAATGTGAAGTTAAGAGTTGTTCTTATTCTCAATCCAAAAATACCATGTTCTCTAACTGTATTTTCATTTATAGAACTCAGCTGCACAGATATCTTGCACTTCCTCCAAAAAACCAGAAGTAACCCTGCTAAATAGGCTCAATGGAAACGCTCAAAAGCAAGTATTGGAGTCTAGCATGCTCTGTCAAATCAGATGCTATTTTGTGGGGAATCCAGCTATCTGGTTTGTTATAATAAAACAGTGTCATAGGAAAGCAAGGATAGGCACTCAGTGTCTCTGATGTGCCAGGCACACTACTCACATGATCTCACTTGACCTTCACAGTAGTACTACAAGATTTACAGTATCTGCCCATTCCAAGGATGAACGAATTGTGCTCCTGAAAGTTAAAGAAACCTGCCCCTGCCAGGCATAGTGGTCTCTAACCCTGGAACTCTGAGAGGCTAAGGCAGGAGGATCGAAAGTTTGAGCCCAGCCTGGACAACTTAATGTCTTAATGGGATCCTATTTCAAAATAAAAATAGCACAGTTGGGACCTATTCCAGAATCCATGAATTTTTTTGGGAAACAATATCAATTTGGGACAGAAACAATAAAATAAGAGGACCAAATAAAGTAAATTCAAAGAAAGTAATTTATAATCTCCTTGCTCTCTAGTTCTCCTGAACAGGAATCCCTGTGACAATATTCTTGACAAAATATCACCCAGAGGTGGCAGCCATGGTGGGCAGCTTTGTATGAGACTAGCACCCATAGGACATCTTGCAATGAAAGGGAATTCTACCACAGTAATTTTCAGAAAAGAGAACTTGAAACATTCATGAGGAAGCAGAGTGTGGGCTTTTCTGAGATTGAAACTGGGCCAAAGGTTGCTATCTAAAGTGACGGGAAAGTTGTGGACTTCCCTGAGAGTTGGACAGGACGGTGAAGGGCCTCACAGAGTCAAGATGATCTGTGGAAGGAAACTGCAGTGATTTTCAACTCTCCAATAAACCAGAGAGATGATAGATAGATCATAGATAATTGATGGATATGGTACAGATATAGGTATCTGTCTAGCTAGATATACAATTTAAGGAGTCCTTTATTTTCTTTTTTTTTTCCTTTGGTACCAGGGATCGAACTCGGTACCTTCTGCTTGCAAGGCAGGCAGCAGAACCACTGAGCTAAATCCCCGGCCCTGAGTCCTTTATTTTCATGTGGCTGCTGCCTTCCCATAAGATCTTTCTTAAATCCTCCAGGCGGAAATGTTCCCACTTCCTCTTCCCTTCCTGCACGTGGTCCCATCCTCATGCAACTTGTACTACCTCTTAGGACAGGATCATCCATTGGGATGTCTCATGGTTGCCTCAAACTTAACCTGCTTGAAACTGAACTCTAGATAATCTCCTAGTTAAAAACACATGTAAAAAATCTTGTTTTTTTACTTTCCCCCCTTGTTCGAGATAGTACTCATCAAGTTAGAATCCGGAGATCTCTTGTTCTTTCCTTATTTTCACTACCCATGACTCCATAGCTACTCAGCCAGGAAGTCCTGTGGGTTCTTCCTCTAAAATATTTCTTCAGTCCATTTCCATCTGTACATCCCAACATGTGCAGCCCCACCATTGCTTTTGTCTTGGATGAATGCAGGTGTCTCTCAACCAGCACCCACCTTGTACTTGTGCCCTGTAACCCCTCCACCCTTGAATGAATTAACTTCAAGGATGAAAAATAGAATCTTAATACTCCCCCACAGGCCCAAAGGATCTAAACTCTATGCATGGCTCCAAGCCTCTCACAACTTGGCCCTCTCCCTCTCCAGTCCCATATGGGGTCACCTCCCCTCATGTGACCTTCAGCTTACCATCCTCTTTATAGGTCCTTGGACCATCCGAGGTCCATCCCAAGCTGGATCTCTGGATGTGCTCTGGTCCCTTGACTAGAGCCCCTTTCCCTGTGTCTCCCCATAGCTAATTCCTCATCCTTCAGGACTCTGTATCAGTATCAGCCCCTCAGAAAGCCCTCCCTAACTACCCTACCAAGGGGGATCTTCCCTCTCTCTACTTTTCTCCATCACTCTGCCACGTTCCTTCTCTTTGCAACATCCAGCACAGCTTGTGATTTATTTGTTTGGGTAGCAGAGCTTTGTGTCTCCCACTACTAGACTGTAAGCTCCCCAAGGACAGAAACTGCTAGATACCCAGTGCTTGACATATCTGGGTCTTCATTAAACATACGATGTCTGAATCAGTGATTAATGGATTTGTGTTTATGGCTTTTACCCTCATCCCTTATGGGGTCGGGGACATGACCATGCCTTAAGCATCACTGAAATCTCAGGGCACAGTTGCTTACACACAGTAGGCACTTAATATATAGCTGCTGACCTGACTTAACTGAAGATGACACAGTGTTATAATCTACCAAACCAGTGCTACAGGACAATGTAATGGTTCTGGTAAATTGCAGGGAAGTCATGCACAGAAAACATACACCTTCATGTATTCACTGCCCACCACCAGAGAATATTATCAGCTAAATTAATGCCCACCACATTCCAGTATGTGTTTGCAGGGAGTTTCCTCCTGCTGCATATTTCTTTGACAACTGTCACTTCTATTCAGTTTATGCCAAAAGATTGTTGGCTCTAACCTGGAATCTGGGTTGTCTAAAGCCTTCTGCAAAAAAGTTTTACCTATACAAATATGTATCCATCATCATATGAGCATTTCTCTGAGGAAAGTATCAATCACTATCATTATATTATTAAGACAGTTATGACCTTAAAACTAGGAATCATTGACCTGGGTATTGCTGTCCAATAGAATTTTCTACAGTGATGGAAATGTTCTATTTGTGGTCCAATATGGCAGCCACCAGCCACTTGTGATTTTCGAGGAATTGAAATGTGATTCGTGAGACCATAGAATGGAACTTTTTGCTTCACTAATTTTATTTAATTTGAATTTAAATTTAAATAGTGACGTATGGTTAGTGGCTACCATAGTGGATAGGAGAGACATGGAGAATCACTCAGAGTTGATTAGAAAGTGAAAGTCCATAAGCTTACAAGACTCCAGGTATAACACGTTTCCTCTCTCTTTCTCACAGGGGCCCATTATAAAGGTCACCTTCACAGATGAGGCCATTGATGCTGAGCTATCAGACACTTGGGGTTGGAAGATACCAGAGATAAATACAAAATTAATAAGATATATTGGGCAAGAAGAATGCTGGCCAGGGAGGCACCTGATTGCAAGGGAAAGAGGGTGGGAAAAGGTAGGGGACACAAAGATTCTCCATGGGGCTAACCACCGACTCCAAGATTTCTTCATTAAATCTTAGGAAAAAAAGTAATTTTTTTTGGCCACAGGATGGGAGTCATACAATAAAGCATGTACAAAAGATTTCAACAGATTCACTCTTGAGATCTATGAGTTTTTGCCTAAACCCCTGTGGGTTTGGGGATTTAGCTCAGTGTTTCCGGCACCTGCCTCGAAAGCGCAAGGTCCCGAGTTCGATCCCCGGTACCAAAGAAACAGATCTAAGACTGTGATCTGAAACAGTCAAAAAGTCTTTGAAAGATGAAATGAAATGGAATTATTAAAATAAAGATCTCAGTAACAAACCTTCCTGGTTTGTCTATGATTTAGATCTCAGATGTCCCTCAAAAGTCTTGTGTATTCTTTGGGTAGGGTGATTGGATCACGATAACTCTTCCTTCATCAGCAGATTCATCCATGATGGCATAATTGGGAGGTAATGGAAACACAAGCCGGGCCCAGTGGAGGAAGCAGATCACTGGGGGCACGACTTGGAAGAGTTTATCTTGTCCCTGTCAGGCTTCACCTGGTCGTGAAATGGTTAATGAACATGCTCTTTAATTCCAAGCTACAGTTTGACAAGACACAAAAAACCCCAACAAAACAGGCAGCCGATGCAGGTGCTGTCTCTGCCCAACACCAGCATCTCAGAGCAGATAAGACACAGAATGCAGGATAGGGTGTTCCCAACACAGAGACAGCAACTACGAAGTACAGCATCTTTTCAATGCCACGTCACCTGCAAACGTCCATACATCTGTCTTGATCGCTGCATGGACCCCGACCACAAATACTTGCTCTGACCCCTATATGTGAAAGACACGCTGAACCTCTCTTCCAATGCCCTATCAAGCTTCCTGCCTTTTCTTTGTTCAGAGCTGGCGGCCTCTTGGTGCTGTCAGTCCACTTCTGCCCAGATGAATAAAGTCTGTACCGCTTTGCGTTCACTAGCCTGCTCGGGTGGCCTCATCCCTCCGCACTGTTTGTTACAGTCCCCAAAGCCTTCTCAGTCTCTTTCTCTCTCTCTGTTTCCTGGCTGCCAGGAGGGGAGCAGCTTTCTTCAGCCACACCCTTCCACCATGCTGTTTCTGCCTCACCCCAGGCCTGAAAGCAATGGACGCAGCTGACCATGGACTGAAACTTTTGAGGTAAAATAAATCATTCCCTTCCTTCAAGTTGTTTTCTCAGGTATTTGGTCACAGTGACAAAAGCTGACTAACATCTGGCTCTTGAGAATGTACAAGGGCCATAGACAACCCTTTGTACAACATGGAAGAACCCCACAGATCACAGTAGCAAGCGGTCTGCTTACCATCAACCATGAAGTAGAACCCGGGACTATATTTTGAGCAGTTGAAAACTTCAGCTTTGCATTTGTAAGGGCCTGAGTCATTGGCTTTGGAGATTGTTAGGTAAAAAATCACAGGTTCACCTTTGCCTTTCTTGGTTTCCAGGTGTTTCTTACTCAAAAACAGTGAATAGGTGATTTGCATTGATTTGTTCTTGTGAGAACAAAACAAAGACACATTTTGACGCACTGTGATCGCATGAGTACTTGAGTTCAAACTCGGAGGAGGGAAATCTGGAAAACAAAATGATGCAAAAAAAGTCCTTGTGAAAAGCCCTTGGTAATAACTCAGTGGTTGGCTAGCCATAGCTTATAGGTCAAGTGCCAAGGACAATCCATTCCCTGACCACCGAGCCACCTTGCAGTCACTCGGGTGGACAAGAGCAGGTGAACCCTTCTGAGGTGGGTGACAGTCTCACTTGGGAGAATCTGCAGTAGGCTCCATTAACACTGGCTAGGCCAGCCTAGAATGCTGATCCATGCCTGTGATCTCAGCACTCGGGAGGCTGAGGTAGGAGGATTTCCACAAGTTCCAAGGACAGCTTGCCTATTAGTTGGTTCAAGGCCAGCTCGTATTACAAAGCAAGAACCTGTCAAAGACAAAGAAAAGAAGAAGAAGGAAGAAGAAGAAGAAGAAGAAGAAGAAGAAGAAGAAGAAGAAGAAGAAGAAGAAGAAGAAGAAGAAGAAGAAGAAGAAGAGGA